TTCATCAAAATACATAAATACGTACAATACTTTTTTTTTTACCGGACTTCTTTACCTTTTAAATATATTTATCAACTTTGAAAATGCCTCCTAACAATCAAAAGTTAAAATTGAAAGGGGATTTCGAAACCTTGGATCCATTGATAAAATATTTTGTTATAACAGGAAATATAATAACTTTTAGATTATCAGTTCCGAATATCATAGTTTGGTCAAAGTTCTTTTTTTTACAAATTATCTTTCAACAGGTGTTTTAACTTAATCCACACCTCTTTCTTAAATCGTATAAAGCATAAAGCGGTAGTTATCGTTCAACCTAAAAAAATCGAACTATCGAATATTTGGCTCAGGTCCCATACAACTTTGTTTACATTTGTTTTTAAAAACGCCTTTAATTAAACTTTGTCCATTAATTCATGTGACATGTACTTCATATTTAGATCTCGTTTTTCTCCCCCCTACCTAATTCAATTAAATAATGACAGACAAAATAACAAAAGTTTTGTGAAATATCCTTTCTTAAAGGTCAAACATAGAGGTTTCTCTGTACACTTGTTCCTGAATCCTTTATAACTGAAAACCTAATTTGCCTTCTTCTTACTTAATTATGTTGTATTTGCGTATTCTTACTAAAGTTAAGAGAAGTCATTGTCCATAAACCCACCCACTACCGCTATGTGCACATAACGACGTGTCGTGGAAATATTTAACTGGCCACACAGTACCATTGACGCTATGCATATATGTCTTGAATGCATTTTGAAAAAAAGTAAAATTCTTTTTAAAAATGTGTTATCAAGCTGTTCTAAATGTAAAATTGGCAAATTGCTTATGTTTTTTGGAGCACTTACGTTGTCAGACTCCTCAGTTTCGCATGTGAGAAGTTCTTGCCATGTCAGACTCCTCGGTTTCGCATGTGAGGAGTTCTTTTCACGTCAGACTACTAAGTTTCGTATGTGAGAGGTTCATGCCATGTTAGACTACTCAGTTTCGCATGCGAGAAGTTCTTGCCATGTCAGACTCATCAGTTTCGCATGTGGGAAGTTTTTTTCATGTCAGACTACTCGGTTTCGCATGTGAGAAGTTCTTTTTATGTCAGGCTACTCAATTTCGCATGTGAGAAGTTCTTGCCATGTCAGACTCATCTGTTTCGCATGTGAGAAGTTCTTTTCATGTCAGACTACTAAGCTTCGCACGTGAGAGATTCATGCCATGTCAGACTCCTCTGTTTCGCATGTGAGTTCTTTTCACGTCAGACTACCCAGTTTCGCACGTGAGAGGTTCTTGCCATGTCAGACTCATCTGTTTCGCATATGAGAAGTTCTTTTCATGTCAGACTACTAAGTTTCGTATTTGAAAAGTTCTTGTTCTTTAGTCTGTGAGGTTCTTGCGATTGGTCCTTCTCAGGGAAGTAATCAGCTTTGAGAAAAACATCATAGCCTGTGAAGTTAAGTGGCCAATGTGTAATAATCGCGTTAAATGACCTAAGATATGAAAAAATGAACGAAAGTATGTTGAAATTTTATGATTTTAATTGATGATATACGATAATCAGTAAAATCATCAGCTGTTATCAATGTTTTAGCTCAATATTTGAAACATATTTTATTTCCATATTTAACAAAAGCAATTGGAATTGGGCAAAAATTCTCCAACTTAGGTAAAGCCCTGCCAGTACATATTAACATATTATTATTGTAACATGTGTGTGTGTGTGTGTGTGTGTGTGTGTGTGTGAGATAGAGAGAGAGAGAGAGAGAGAGGACGTATGCATATACATACTCGTGTAAGTAACAAAAATTAAGTATGTCAACTAGTTATATGTTAAATAAATAAGAATACATCGAAGATGGTAGATAAGGGACTAGCCCCCCACTTTAAAGTTGCATCTTGTTTCCGAATGTAAACTGTCAAGTTTTACTTTATATCTGCTACATGTATTTTTTCTTAGTCAATTAATAAATCAATTTTTCCCCTAAATTCCATTTGTCGTACCGTATAGAACGAGACTGCATATCTCTATCTCTCTATCTCCATTTTTGTCTCGCTAGATCTCAATTTTCACGGATATTATTTCAGAACAGCCGGATCTGATAACGAGACCAAGTGGAACGTTTCATATAGTACGATTTTACATTTCCAAGAGTAATATATATATATATATATATATATATATATATATATATATATATATATATATATATATATATATATATATATATATATATATATATATATATATATATATATATATATATATAAATAAAGACAAACTGCTTGATAGTTAAACGCTTAAAATGTATGACCTTTTGGGGACTTCGCCTACTAGGCTCCTGCTGAGGGTTTATTCTCAAAGATTCTTTGCCTGCTTGTTTACGTCTCCGCACCCGAAATATTTCTGGCCAAAAAAAAGTAAAGCTGTCGCCAAAATCTGTCTACATCCTTTATTCTCAAATATTAGATTCATTAGTAATAATTTAATCACTTTAAAAAAGCTTGAAATTAAGACAGACTAGCACAGCTTTTGATGATATTTTTAGAAATGACCCTTCCATAATATACAGTAATGAATTAAGGAGTCTTCCAGAATGACGTCATAAACGACACCAACCCAAATTCTAGGCAAGGTAAGTAATTTTGCTGGTAATGTTGGACAACCTTATTCTTCACTAATTTTCGGATCTAAATTTCGGGAATTATGTGACAGTAAACCCATTAGACAAGCGGATTTATAATTAATACGACATTCTTATATAAGTTGCTACGAATGTAAGAAACAAAACGCGAGTGTCAGAATCTAATAAAGTCGCACGCAGAATTATTTTCGGGGTGGGTGGGTGAACATTAAGCTATTAAATTTTACGGATGTAGGTCAAAACATGTTTAGAGGTGAAATCGGAGGTGGGGTGTGAGGTGGGAGCTAGACACCCCCCATTTGCCCCTTAATGCAGGCGCCTATGATATCTAATTGTTTACCCTAAGTCAGGTAAGAGCTGAAAAGAGTGTCCTGCTGCAGAGCGCACATTTTTAAATCTGAACGACTTCTCTTATGAGAAACAGCTTTTAGTTATCCAACTTTTTAGTTAAAAATAAATAAAGACGGAAACCTTGAAAAAAAGATTTTTATTGAATGTGTGTATTTTATCAAAATAAAAAAAATCACGACTTAATAAAATGAAAGAACAAATGTGCCAAGGTTTTTTTTTCAGACCACCCTTGATCGTATTCAAGATTTGAAATTTAACAGCAACGTGGAACGCGTTACTTAAAATAAACAAACTTTCAGTTGGTTTTGTGGAATTTATGAGCTCTAGGTAAGTAATTGTATGCGTACCACATGTAAATGTGTTATGAATAAGTCACCGACACATTATTTTAGGAAGCATCAGATAAGTAAATAGGTATGTCCTTAAACTGTGGTTACCCCGGTTACCTTTACACTGGTATACAACGAGTCTGTATGAGATGAGCATGGTCGTGTAACTGATAGTAACGGTTGTTATATTTAAAATTCAAATTTAAATTCGAAGGAATATAATTGAGATAACAAGGTATACTTATATAACGTATCCACATATGATGTTTGTGAATATGTTGCTACTTTTCTGTAACAATAAGGCAACAATTTATAAAGCTATTTGAAACCCCAAAAAATGGAAAATATAACGTATTTTAAGATTGTTAAATAGCTGTGTGAAGATGCAGATACAGAAACAGACACACATATATAGTCAATTATATATTCAGTTTAAAATATAATCATAGCAGGTCTTTAAAATTAATAAAAGTTAGATATTAAGCTAAAAAAATCTTCGAGTGTTGAATTATAATCGAAACTACAGTGTTAAAGAAACAATTTCTTTGATAATTTCTGTTCAAATTATTATTTAAAGTGCTTAAATGGATCTTACTTAGCGTCGAGCGTCCTTTCTTGGACGAATAGGGGAAACCATACATTTATAGATACTTCGATGTGTGTGTGTGTGTGTGTGTGTGTGTGTGATTTGTCTTTGATTTCCATGTTCCTTAACTGTATAAAAAGGATTTTAAAAAAACAAACTCAAAACGCCTATAATTGACTATTATGCATTTCACAGATTAAAAGAAAATTTAAGGACAAAACAGACTATAACATATGTAATCCATATGTTACCAATCGATGAGGTAAGTCTGCAAGGAACCAACCAATGCTGTACAGCATCACTGCCAGGTCCCTTTCTGAAAAATCAACGAAAAGTTCGATACAGCTTTCAAAAAGCGTTACGTTTAATGAGGCAGAAATTTGCTTGTAACTCATAATCTTCTCAGCATTTTTAATTTTGGTTCATCCACTCTGTTTCATTTGAATGAATGGCCAGTATTCTCTTGTTTACAACAACTTTGTTACTTTGTTTGCACAATTTATAAATGAAGGTTGCCATACACCTGAAACCATGCCTACATTCCTACAAATGAAGGAAAATTAGCAAAAAATAATAGAAAATGAACGAGAATAAAAGAAAATGAATGAGGAAATTAACATTTAGCACTATTAAAAAAGCAATAATAATAAAAGCAAAGAAAATCGAAAATGACATAGTTAATCTTGTAATTTTATATTTCTCTCTTTTTTTTTTAAATTTTATTTATTTAAGTTTGGAACCTGCAATTGTGTTTACAATCATGAATGTATGTATAACGTAATCCTTGTTTCTGTTCAAATACTTATTGGCAAGTGTTTCGGCGCTAATTCCTACGTATCTTTCTTGTTATATGATAAAAAAAAGTGCCACTACACATTTAGTTTAGGACAAATTCTCATACAGGTCTCGCCTTTATAAAACTTAAACTTATATTATCGCTGATCAGATAATGATTGTACATGTTTTGACAATGTAGCAGTCATTAATCGCACACAGTATTTACATAGATTTTATTAAAATAGTACACCGGTCTCCATGGAAATATTTTTTAGTCATTATTAATCCGTACTGAGCATCCAGGGAAATCATTAATACTTTGACCGCTCCGGTGGCTTAGTGGTTAGAGCGTCCGCCTCAGATGCGGTAGGTCGTAGGTTCGAACCCCGGCCGAGTCATGCCAAAGACTTACAAAAATGGCATAACATCTGCCTCGCTTGACGCTCAACATTAAGAGGTTAGTGTTAGGACTTGTTAGCCTGGTATCAGGATAATGTGATTGGGTGGGACACCATATGCCACATGTCTGCGGCATAATGCCCCAGTGCTAGACATCACTTTAAACTGCCACACTGCAGACATCGTAACGATATGATTGATTTTTTTTTATAAAAAAAAACTATGTTAAAATTCTAACACGCACACAAACACACGCACACACATTAATGCGTTTTGTTTCTTACCAACATATAATAAGTCATGTAAGTTTATTATTAATTAAATACATAGTTCATTAATCTATTACTAATTAAATACACAATTCACAATTTGTAAACGATGCATAGAGAAGAAAAGGTACTAGCAAGTCTTAACTCTTTTGTCGCTTGCTTTTATTTTGACTGTGGTGTAAGCAACTGGCATCATATGACAGCCATTCCATTAAATAATAGCATGTTTTAAACAAACGATAGAAAATACTTTTCAGAAGATAAAAAGAGATGTTTAATGTGAGCGAAACTATCCTTGATGGTGATTATAAAAATACCTTTTCAAATCATTTACGCATTGAATCGTATTGATGATGTATGATAGAGTTATGAAAGCATTCAAAACAAAACTGGTTGACATGGATAACCACTTTGTCCCCAAAATTAGAACACAATTAATTAGCAGACTCGAGGAAAGTATTAATCAAACGCAAAAGCTCGGACTGTTACATCATTCTGATAGATGGTGACGTCCAAAGTCCCTGGAGGTAATACCGGTACACTGAATAACCGCTGTGTTGTTTTCTGGTGGTACGTATCACTACCGGTACACTGAATAACCGCTGTGTTGTTTTCTGGTGGTACGTATCACTACCGGTACACTGAATAACCGCTGTGCTGTTTTCTGGTGGTACGTATCACTACCGGTACACTGAATAACCGCTGTGTTGTTTTCTGGTGGTACGTATCACTACCGGTACACTGAATAACCGCTGTGTTGTTTTCTGGTAATACGTATCACTACTTTTGCACTCTACTGGTACTTCGTTACTTTCCGTCAACAAGTGATCGAAGGAAATTTCAGATGCATCTTTTTACGACTAAATGATATTAACATCGTGTTTTTATTATTTAGGGAAAAATACTTCAACATATTAACTTTCTTTTCCAAAAATGGTTGTATCTATCACAATTAATGGTGACTTTTACAAACACAATTTTAGTACATTCCCATTTAATCTTGCATTGTTTATCTGCCGTATGATACATATATTTTACCTGCGATTCTCACCTGTTTTACTCCTAATAATTCCGTATCACATACCCAGCGTAGAACTACTTTTACAGATTGATTTATTAAATAATAATCCACTTATAAAATATCCGGAAATTATAATTGACACATATTTTGAAAAATTAAAAAATTTCAAACACACGTTTGTAATTTTAAGAAATGTAGTCATATTTGGTTAAAAAAATGACCGTCTTTTCTGTTGAAATAATGAGAAAGTACCGTAAGTAGCGACTAGCACCTGTTTATGTGCATTTCTTGGTATCTATGCCGAGAAATTAGTTAAATGAGATGGACACAACTATATGAGAGAGAGAGAGAGAGAGAGAGAGAGAGAGAGAGAGAGAGAGAGAGAGAGAGAGAGAGAGAGAGAGAGAGATGTTTTGATTACATTAGAAGAATTATATATTGTTACAATATTGTCAAGATGTTTTATCACAGAGGACATCGAGAGTAATTTGTTTTACATTTTAAATTTGTTGCGACTGATAAGCAGAAAATAAAGAGAAGAAATCAGAACAATACCGCACTATTGTTTAAAAATTTCTTGTCAAAATACATCTAAATGAATATTAAAATTCCAGTCTACATGTAAAAAAGAGGCAGAAGCTTCAATTTCTTGAAAATATAGGCTTAAATTCGTTTGATACTGCGAATGAACATTTTTTTTCTGTCTGACGGCCTCGAGATATTCATATGCCACGTCAAACTTGTTCCTTCCATAATCTCTGAACAAAACTCGTGCAAATGTTTTTTCTTTTCTTCTTCTTTTATATATTTATGTTTCTTTGATCACATGTTTGGCACGTGTCACGTATGTCAATGAGGTGGCCAATAAAATGTTGTGAAACATTTGTTTCAAATCCAATTTCAGGAAAAAGTTTTTTTCGGATTATAATATACAAAAAGCACGTGTCATGTTTTAGTTATTTACTAGCGTATGTGAAAGTGAAAGTATATATATTCTTCTGTAAGGCTGTGAATCATCCTGTGAGTTTCAGGAGAACACTTGCTTCCTGTCTGAACTTGACGTAATTTCTCAGGTCCAGAAAATATTTTCATTTGTTGAATAAGTGTATGTAATTTACATTTGCTGTTGCTACACCAACAACAACAACACCATCTCTTACACATATAAATATAAAATAATCTCAAATCTGTTTTACAAATGACAGCATG